GCAAACTGAATCACTGATGCACTGCAACAACAGAGATTATATGTGACTTGGCGGAGACATCACTGCACACTCGATGGGGGATTGCCAAGATGTTTTCCAATATTTTCGTGTAATTACAGTGCGTTACAGCTGCCAGTCTATTCGTTGCGAAGGTCAGACTCTGAAAAGGACGAAAGGGGGCGCTTTCGCTATGTGCCCTATCTCCAACATATTCATCGTGAATACTGCGATTTCTGAATAAGAAGAATATGCAGTGGTAAGCAGCTGAAAAAATCATCCTAACCTGCTTTTCATCATTCGCGTTTACTGCATTCAACAAATGAGAACGGGCAGCCGGGATGGGCTTGTTTCCGGCGATCACCGGATACAACGGAGGCAAGTCTTCATGAGAAAACGGCTGAACATTTGTAGCAACATTGGTCGATGGAATAGCATTGATGTCTTTCACGCAAGGTGGAACGTATTCGTTCGGCGGATGGTCCTGTGTGCTACTAGCAACGTTGCCTCCTGCGATGAAGTCAGGATTCGCTGGTGGAACGTTCCAACCGTAATTTCCCTAAAATACGCTACGCCACTGAAAAATATGATTACTAAATTAAAACCTTCTGAAAATATTAACGAGTCCTTAAGAAAGAATCAAACGTGAAATTGCCATGCCGAGGTCATGCAGTGTGAGCTGAATATAGACTGAACGATGGTGAAGGTTAAAATCACCAACTTTTTGGAGGAAATGAACGTAGATGGGGCAACAAACTTTGTTATGAGACGGAAACTGATTTTATGAAATGCAAACAATTTTGCTTAAAACTTCGATTGAACTACCATCTAATGGGGTAAGAATTATAATGCAAAATGCTAATTTGTGAGCAAGAAGAAAGCCAGTAAATCTTAAAGACCATTCTGCGGTTGTCCGTGCGTGTGTGATAATCACCTTGTGCGGCTTGCATATGCATAACGTCCCTAGATTGTGACCCCCGCTGTATTCGTAGGTTTACAACAACAACACTCGCCATAAGGCAGTGGCTACTGTACCGTAGAAAGAACAATTCTTCTTTAAAAAGAAACTAGTCTCTACTTTTTTTCTCCAGGCTGTATGCCATCATCCTGGCCGACGTCTGCCGTGTTTTGACTCCCATAGACAAGCACGAGAGCGAGAGTAAATGGTTTCTGCTCATTAATTTGTCTGACAGGACTAATCTTTTGCAAATCTTTGCGTCTACTGAGGTCACTTGTGCCTGGAAGAGAAGGGAATCATTTCACAAGTAGTCCTGCCATTTAACCCTCATTATGCGTCGAAGTCAACGCTGCTGTGCGCAGTTCAACAACACTGACCTGACAGAGGCGAGGTACAGACGAATTTTTGTGGAAAGGGCTACTCCGTTCTCAAGCAAAATATTTTACAAGTTATCAAAAGCACTAGATGCCATGGTGATCCTTCTATTTAATTCTGACTGGATGGTGGCACTGTTGGAAACGACTGAGATGAGATACCTAAGTTGATCAAACTCATGAAGCACTTCACCTCTCTATTCCACTTGTAAATCAGTTGTGCTAGAAGGGCTCCTTATAATTTTGGACTTCCGGATGCTAAGGCATTGTCCAGCTTTTGTAGCACTTTGTAAACAAAAGCCGTCAGGTAATAGAGTCTGCTAGCGTACTACTCACCAGGAAAAGGTATGGCAAGGACACAGTTGGTTGATTTCGAACTTGAACTCTGGATGTGCCAAGTTCGATTCCAAGTGAGCAGGGGGATCTTTGTCTTTGCTACGAACTCCGTTGTGCAAGGAATTTACCACACGTTGTTTCAGATCAAGGTTACTTGGTTGACAGAGCGTTCGTATTCAGAAAGGAGAAGTTCTGGATCAGAGACTCAGTTGAGGTCACTCACCTTTCTTCCATCTAAGGCTGATAAGTGAGTACTGATAAATGAGAGAGAAGAAAACAGGAGAATACTGAACAGGCTTGTCACATCGATGCTGTCGATCCGGCCTTTAAAAGGCAATGTTCGCTATGGGATATGGCAACGTAGATTAGTGCCACAACAATTACTTCATGAAAACGAGGGTGCTAGAACTTCGCCCACCGTGCAACTGTAGGAAAAACCGACATTCCAACGGTTACAAACTTTTCTTCACTTCTCTTGCCATTTGGACAATATATTCTGCAGGCCATTGATTTCCAACGCGGGAAAGCGAAAATTTCATGACTCTGATTATCAACTACTGAAGCTCAAGCGCTGGCGCAGGACTTCAGATACATAAGCAGCAGAAAAACTAAAACCAGCAAATAAAACTATGGTCAAAACCCTGAAAAAGTAAAGTCACAGTCAGCTTGCTAGAAGACAGCAACCATAACATAAAAAACAAAAGAACTCACTTGCGCAAGTTCTTTTCAAGCGCTCTGAAATCACAGACTAAAACCGAAAACTGAACAGCAAGGAATGACGTTGAATCTGCAGCGATTTTGCACGCAAGGCAGCGAAGCACTGTAGAATTCGCGTAACCAAAATTTTGCCTCTCGATAATCTTTCGGTTCTGCAGTGGATTTAGAGGTTTGGGAGTATAAACCGGCATTGTCGTCAGGCTTCGAAATATCTGTTAACAACCTTCCTGGTTGTTAAATTACCTTCCTACCGAGAGACTTTCGCTTATGACCCTTTTTAAAATCAAAAGATTACATCTGGAATGAGACAAGTTGGCACGATTCAGATGAGAGACTCAAAAACAGATTCTCTTCGTAAAGCCAGGTGACAAAGGGCCAAAAAGCAGACCTAGGGCAGGGCAGTTGAAGTACACTGAACACTCGCACTGCCGTGGAATCCAGTCCTTAAGGCTAGCTTGACTGCAGAGAAAGTGGCACTATATGAAAAACCTGAGGCAGCTCGTCCCGTTCCCCGATTCTAGAGGAACATAAAACTATTAAAACGAAACAGACATATGACCATTAAGAAAACGTATATTAGAGTTATTTTGACAATTAGCTGAGTGGGAGAAGACCATACTAATGAGCCTAATATTGAGTGATACATTTGTGCAAACTGTGCAGGAAAGAATGTTGAACTTCCTCGAAGTATGTAAGAGGGAAACATCTAAGTTCATCTACTATAGCTAATTTCTTTCCGAGACATATGCGTCACACTGCACTAAACGAAGAGACGAATGACATTAAAATATTATGATTTGATCTCGAGTCTTTCTCTTCATCTTCCATCGCCGCTTCTCCTTTTGGGTCGCGGAGGCAGACGCGTCAGACAGAGCTTCCAACGTTCCCGATTCTGTGCCAGAGTCTGAGCTTTGGCAGAAGACAACCGGAGTCTGGAATAGACTCCTTCCATATATTTGCACCAGGTCAATCTTGGCTGTCCTCTGGGCCTTCTGCCGGTCGGATTCGCAAGAAACAGTAGCTTAGACTTCCTTTCTGGAGGCATTCGCGACATCTCGAGATTTCGATGATCTCGAGTCTTCCTCTCATATGTTATTGAATTTGAAGGTGCAGTCTCGGGCATCACTGTCGCTAGATCCAAGCTTGGAAGAGAAAAGAGGAAGGTTGCCCACCGTGAGCAAGTCTCTGTAAAATTTAGTCACCTGACTTCATGGTATTGCAGTCAACGAGCATTATATCGGCTCGGTCGTCGCCCTGATTACCAAAGGCCGTGCAGGTTGATGGGGTACCGAGGCAGGCTGCGGAAAGTCGGCGATCAGAACCTGTTCATCACCTTCTGGCAGTCAGGGACAGCTCAACGAATGCTGCCGAAGATCGACGGAACGACGACGAAGATACCAGTCAGTAACGGAGTCGCTACCCGTTCTGAATGGAGGAGGCGACAGCGCGATGCCATTAGAGCACGTCAGAAAAGGCTCCACGAAAAAGATACAGCCCGTGGGAGCTTACAGTCGTAAAATGCAAAATATTAACACTCAAAGGGAAAGAGCAGAAGCTAGTTGATGAAACCGCGAGGTACTAATTCAACATAGTTGGACACTCGTCAACGAAACGCCAAGGCTCTGGAATTCTGCGGAAGGAAACTATTCTACTCAGGTGTCTATATCACGACGCGCGTTCAGGTCTGTGGTGCTGTTCTGCAAAAACCTAGAATCATCCTCCGACTGAAGCGCTGATCTTGTTACAAGTCCAAGCGACTAGTTTAGAGGAATACGCCTCCTTCCTTGAGGAAGTGGAGTCTACTCTGTACGAAGTGTCGACTATGGTGGAATCATTTTAATGGGTGATTTTAATGCCTAGCATGTCGTAGCAAATACTGAAAAACGGATTGGCGTGATTGGAAAGAACAATCCTAGTGACCTCAATTATAACGGCATGAACTTGTTGCGGTTTTGTGCAAACAAAGCACTGTCTATTATGAACACCTTTTTCGAGCATCGAAGCATCCATCAGTATACCTGGTATACGGTAGCCTTATGAAGGTTGAAAACGCGCTCGGTAGTAAAGTCCCACCTGAAAACTTACCAGATTCTGTCGAAGTGCTTTGTCAACCGCTTCGGCTGACAGGGCAGCAGAACAGACTCCAAGTGAGCCATGATGAGGTAATACGTTAACAACTGAAGCAATAATATGCATAGCATTTACACTTTAAACACAAAAACCCTTAAATGACTAATTTCCTATCTTCAATGAAGGCCACAGATGGAGGTTTTCGCGCATAATGCACAGCGACTGTAAGCATTCGCAGTAGTCCCATCGGCGTTCCAGCGGCAGATAAAGGGACGCTTGATCGAGAGAGCATTCTCGAACTCGCCCATCTACCGAAGAGATTAACGCCGCAGTCGGTCGTCAGAGGCCATGCTTCGCAGGAGCAATAATTCTAACAACAAACAAGTTCGACAAATGATGACGATTCAACCATCAGGAAGTCCGTTCGAGATGTATATAGCAAAGAAGAAAGGTCGAGGGCATTTATACTGTTCTCTTTCGTTCATATTTCAATTCCAGTGCGATTTCGTCGAAGCTGTATACTATTCAACTCCTTTACATGCCTTTTCTCAGCAGTCGTCGCTTGAAACGTATGAACTATGGATGCAAACCGAAATGAATAAAAGGCTGTGAAATGGATCAACGGGTGGGATATCTGTCAAAGAATATGAACTACCTTCGTACCTCTGAGCGTACCTGAGCTGCTATTCAAGTAAGCACAAAAGCAGTTGGTCAGAAACCAGCAACAATGCAAGAATTTGGCCTCATACCTCTCCACGATTCTTTAAGTCAATCAGCATTGCCTCCGCTGCAGCAACTTCGTCCTCCCGAATAATGTGTTTATCCGGTTCAAAAGGCACGCTGTGACTTCGCGATATCTCGATCATGTACCTCAAAGAAGGAAAATGATTATATATACAATCAGCGAACGAAGAAGATCATATACTTTTCGACAAGTAATTTCGATGGAGTATGAACGCTGAGCTTTTGCAACAGCTTCTGATTTACCTTCGCGAACTGATTACTACGGCAGGCTTCGGAAAACGGCTTGCCATATTTTGCCGTCAGTTGATCCGATATGACCTGTCCATTTCGATGTTCAAAACAATAACTACAATATGCCAGCAATACGTACTTTTAATTCAGGAACCTCAGTCTGCAGTCGAGGGGCAGCCCACAGTATCGTATTGATCGCCTCTTCGAGACCTTCGTCTAGGGTTCTACAAAATGTTTACGATACGTACGAAAAGAACTTGATATTCCATCACCCACTTCATCTGCTGGATGAGGTCAAATCTCGCCAGCAGCAGATCACACAACATTTCCAACAGTTCAAACGCTTCCACTAAATAGTCTTCGCGAATTATATGTTCAACTCTGATTCGAGCCCTATCTTCTTTGTTCTGACTGATGTAATCCGCGATTTCCTTGCGCATTTTCTGCGCCAGTTCCGTTTTCTTTTTCTCGAGCAACTTTAGTCGGTTGACAGCCAAGCGCAAATTTGTCTTCAATTTAGTATAGTTTGGACCTGAACTGAACATTTCTATCCACTCTTCAACCTGAAATGCACAGTTATCTTTCTAGAAAGCACAGTTATGCAAAAGTTGAATGTAAATCGCAGGTATATGTGTAGAGTTACGGACGCTTTAAAACGCGACGCGGTTAGAAGCCTGAAAAAAACTCTAATAAGTAAAGCTTTCGGAACACAGAAAAGTATTCCTTCTCTAGCACAAAACGTAATATACAGTGAAGAAATCGTAGTCATGAAGATCAGCAAGTTTACACTTAAAACACTGTAACGGAGGTAATGCTCTAAGTGTTAACTTGCTGGTCTCTATAACAACATTATCTTCACGGTGTATTTAATTTAATCATGAAGAAGGAACACCGTTCTGGGTTCCGAAAGCTTAGCTTACTAAAGTGTCTTGTTCCAGACTTCGAACCGCATCTTATCTTGATATATTTACCTAAGACACCGTATATATCTTCCCTAAGTGAATAATCACTGAAGGGATTTCTTGTTATTGTCGCATATCAGAATGCAAATGTTTGCTGTTTGTAGCGAAAACGGAAGAATTTTATTTTTCAACATACACAAAAAAACAAGATCGCAAGTGAAATAAAACAAAAAATTGCTGCGATTGCATTCATGAAGAGAGAGGGGGAGGACGAATGGACTGAAGCAGCCGCCGCTTCAGAATATCTAAAGCATCTTTAAACGTTCGATTAAAATGAAAAAATTAAATATAGAAGTATTACAGGAAATTAAAGACCAGAAAGGAAGTTTCCGAGAAACGAAATAAAAGAGTGAAAGGCGAAGAAACAGATTTGGATAGATGGTAATTTACTGTGGAACATGAAGCAGGAAAGAAGCTTTTTGATTCTAAGTTTATGCTGCTGCTCGTCTTCAACTGGTAGCACTGAAACGCAACGAGACGAATTTTCTGTTCAAGGGAATCGGCAGTTAATAAGAAAAAATTGACGAATCGCATGATGATCTAGCTCGGCACATCGAGTGGAAAGGCGAGGTCAACATCACTTTGTGCAAGGGTTAAATATAATTTCAGCAACTACCAACCAGTATCGCTTTTTTCAGTGTTAAGCAAGATCTTCGCAATGTTCTGCTAGCAAGGATATGCCTTATTTACATTAGATATCGCTAACCGTAGAGGAGTGGCTTTACCGCCGGACACTCTACTGTGGACGCGATTTCGGCTTTACGGTAATTATCGGAAATACACCGGGAATTCAACCGTCCCCTGCACGTGACCCACATACACTTTCAGTTAATCCTTGACTAAGTGGACCTACTGACGCTCTTCGTTGCACCCATGGGCATCAGTGTCCAGGGCATATTTCAAAAGCTTTTACGCGACCTTCACAGCGGGATAGGTGCTCATATTCGGACTGGTTTAGCTCTCTCAGAATAATTCTACACATAGTCGAAAGTGAGATAGGGGTGTGTGCTTTCTTCTGTCCTCTTTTGCCGAGCCATCGGAATTACTGCATTGGTACCTCTGATTTCATGCATCTGCATTATGCAGATGACATCTCGCTTCTTCCCCCGCCCCCTCCCAGCTTCTACGGAGTTTTCCCATTTATTCGCTCAGCTTTAAACAAGACCTCGAAGAAATTGCTCTTGAAGATTTCCTGGCTTTAGAACGAGCGCAAAAGCTGTCTTTATTCACGTGGGCGGCTAGATAGTTAAAAATGTGGAACAATTCCCATATCTCGGGAACGTACAGAATTTGTCCGGAAGCTGCAAACCTGAAATGCCTCGTCGTCTTGGCCTCTCCACTTCAGCCACGAACCCTGGTCCTCGAGCGCCCTTTCGCAGCGTACCAAGCAACGGTTCTACCAGAATTGCATTTTGCCTGTTTTGCTGTATGGAAAAAAGACCTGGCCGCTCCAGAAGGCGGACGTAAACAATCTTCAGGCCTTTCACTTGCGGAGTCAGAGGAAGCTACTCAACATCAGGTGGAATGACTTCGTATGAACCGTAGCCTGCCCCCCGCAATTAACTGCATTATTCTACCTCAGCAACACCGTCGACCGACTCAAACTGCTCTGTTTGGCCACTTGGCGATACCAGCAACTGAAGTTCATCAGTACAGTGTTTTCGTTGCAGCTTGGAGCAATCGCAACGGAGTACCACCTCCTTCCTGGCGGCGGCCCATGGGCAGACTAGTGACACACAGACGAGGTTACCTTGACGGTCTCACCGATTTTTGAACACACATCGCACCGCCAGAGGTCCTAGCTTGTTGCAACGGTTCTACTGCCGACTTCGCATCTTTTGTCTATCATTTACGTTTCGGTGCGGACCGATGCTTTGTGCCAACTCCTGCTCATGACGTTGGTGCATTAAACCTGTATAACTGGACAGTAGTCAGTTGCACCAATTGCGGATTCTGCCCATCACGTTATATATCAGTGGGTAGCCCTCCGTGAGTGAGATTAATATTAGTTGCTGTGTCAAACCAATGATTTTTTTTTATTGCAATTCCATTGTGATGGATTTCGATGTCTATACCTAAGCACGGAGTCTGCAGTCGCGCGTCTGAATTTATGTCTTTGGCAGATGGTCAACTGAATCAACTGTGTGACGTCGCCTTTTTAACTTATCATTGGAAAGCTCTCTTCGAGTAAAATGCGAAGCCGTTTTCAAACTGTTAATGTCGATGATTTTCAGCTTATGAAAAATGTGACTGTGCGAAGTTGATAAGTCAGCGCGCTGTTATTTGATGGCGAGCAGGAGTTCATATAATTGCAGTTGGTTATTTATATCAATTTAATGCTGTGGCTCCTCACGTTACACATCTTTTCAAGGCTTTTAGTCAGTACACGATAAAATTTTCCTCTTCTTCTTCCATGGCAGCTTCTCCTTTTAGGTCGAAGAGGCAAACGCGTCAGAAAGTGCTTCCGACGTTCCCAGTCCTGTGCCAGAGTCTGAGCTTCGGCAAAAGACAACTGGAGTCTTGAACAGTCTATATATTTGCACCAGGTTAATCTTGGCCGTCCTCTGGGCCTTCTGCCGGTTGATTTGGCAAGAAACAGTTGTTTAGCCTTCTTTTCTGGAGGCATTCGCAACACGTGCCCAAGCCATCGCAGCTGCGACTTCTCAATCTGCAGAAGCACCAACTGTACACCAAGGCTCT